AATCGAGATCCTCCGAGACCGGGTCTCTGGTTTAGGAGAGCAGATTTCAAACTCCCTGATCTCAAGACTTCTTGGGCCAGACCTTCAGAAACAGATGGAGGAGGGTAACCAGTGTCTGTTTGCTTGTGGGCGTCGCTCTCTGGAGAGATAGTAACCGTATTAGCAAGGAAAACAGAAAGGTCTAAAACACGAGAGTGAGCAAGTTCACCCCACTGATGGTCAGGGGTCATACGGTCACGGCTAAGGGAGCCTCCGGAAAGCACCACACGCCCAGGCAAGGGGGAGAGAGAGAAGATGACAAATTCTATTTCATGGTACCATGAACCTAGGCATGACCCCACGGATTCCCCAGAAGATTCTCCGGGAACCCTGTAGGTCCCCGGGTCCCAGGAGGAAAGCTGCTTTGGTCTCGGTGATGATCTCACTCTGGGAACCCATCTTGCAACCAGTAGGCTCTTCCAAGAGGCGTTAATGGAGTATTTTGCACGTGGCACCGTTTTGCAAACATGAAGTGCCTGTATTTGGTAGAAAGGCTTCCATTTGGGGCTCTTAAGGGTTACCGCTTCCGTCTGGGGTTCCTAAGGGTTACCACCACGTTTCCTCCAGGACTGAAGGCACCACTGGACAACATGAACTTCCCCCCAACCAAGTCCCCATCACTGGACAACATGAGCTTCCCCCCAACCAAGTCCCCATCCCCAGGGACATCCAGTTCCCATCACACAAGCCTCCTTCCCAAATGACTATGGTGCTCTTGCATCTTCCCCCAAGAGGCTCTGGGAGGGAAGGGGTCTGGGGACCCCAAGGAGAAATGTGAGATTATCCCCCATGTCCCTCGATGAGGGTAAGAATCAATCACTCATCTTCACACGATGGAGGTGAGCCAGACACGTGACAAACACGTGGCATCCCAACATCAACTGAGAAGACGAGGAGAGGGTCCATGTACTACATCCCCTGCTGGAGCCACCCAGCCTGTTGTCTACCTCAGCCACATCTTCGCACCAGCCCGATGGCAGCCGCTCCATGACAAGCCAGACCCGTTTGAAAGAACCACTACCCGCCCACCGCGTGCAAAGTGAAGTTCAACGCCGGAAAAAAAGAAGGTCAACACCGCTGCTTTCTGCACCACTGAGTGATCCCTTGGCCGAACTGCTAATTTTATAAAAAGCCTGCTTTACATTTTTCTATGGCCGCGTGATGCTCGTTACAGGTCACGAGTCTTTTCTATGCTACGGATTAAGGCGTCTGGAATCCCAGCCGTGGTGTGTGAGGCTGTTTCTAGAACAAAGACATTCCAGAGAAACAATCTACAAACCAGCTTTGGGAGCAGATCAGGGGACGAGCTGTTCTGCTCACTCATCAAGAACACTGGGCACCAAAGCTTTCGAATGGGAGGTTGCTTTCCTGTCACACAATGTGGCGGTCCGGTCAGGCTCAGGTCTTAAAATATGTGCCAAAACCTCAAGAATCATAGCGTTTTCAAGCGCCAGAAGGGCTGCCACCCAATCACCAACCTTCCCCACCCCTCAAAAAAAGTCCTTTCATTCTATATGGGTGTGTGCACACCTGTGTATGCTTCATTCACTACTGGGTGCACATATCTCGTGGGCCCGTGAAGGCAAAAAGGGAAGCACGCTACAGAATAAAGAAGTAGGTTTGCAGCTTCCCGAAGGTCGGGAACCCTCACCTGATGATACAGGAGGGGAAGAATCCAGACCACAAGGATGCTTGGGTGGCTCAGGGGTTGAACATCTGCCTTTGGCCCAGGGCATGATCCCACGGTCCTACATCCCTGCAGGGAGCCTGCTTCTCCCTCTGCCTATGTCTCTGCCTGTCTCTGTGTCTCTCATGAATAAATACATAAAATCTTTAAAAAAAAAAAATGCAGAGCGCACAGCCACCTGCAAACTTTCCCACTGATGCTATGCTGAGAGCATCCCAAGCTCTGAGTGCTAGTCTCTAGTCAATGCCTAGACTGCACTCAATCTGCATTGCAGCATGACTCAACTTTTCCTTTTGAAGGAAGACAAGCCTCCTGGAACCCAGAGCAGTGGTCCCGAAAGGCAGCGCATTCAGGGCGACGCACTTCTGGAGCAGGTGCCTGCTGCCTTGTGTTCTTCACACTCACTTCTGGGCCTCGTTGGGCAAGGAAGAAGCAATCGAGGTGGAGATGGCGCAGAGGAGAGGGGAGCTGGAGCTGCATGAGCACCAGCTGGGACAGATGAAGTGTGAAGCCCACAAGACAGCACCACAACTTACAAGACTCAACAGGCCACAAGCTTACAACGGAGCAGATTCTGAACTCCCAACATGAGGCAGGGCACCACTGGGCTGGCCCGTAGGTGGTCTGAATGCAGGAAAGGATGGTCATTTCCCAGTTTTCTCCAGGTTCCAGTATTGTTTCTTCCCCAGCTCTAGGCCACACTCAACGCGGCAGCCCGGAATCGTGCTCAAAATAAGACAATTAAGAAAAAAAACAGTGAAGAACATAGTATACCTACAGAGGAGCAAGTAGCAGAAACCCAAACAGAACACATGTAAAAATCAGAGCCACCAAGGAAGCTGAAAACTCAACAAAAGACTGTAGAAGGAAAAGTCGGGGAAAGAAATACCAGACAGGCAAGCAGAACAAAGAGCAAAACTGAAAACAGAAATCAATGAAATGGAAAACGGAAAATGGACAGAAGGGAAAGAAAAAAAAAATCAAACAAATCAGACACTGGTTGTTTGACAGGATCAACGCCACGGATGCTCCCAAATCTGTCATCGAAATAAAATACTGAAGTGTTTCGGGATGGAACAAAGAGAAGCCTTCGTAAGTAGCATCAGCTGATGACCATTATACCTGAGTATCCAGGGAATAGGCCGTCATTACTGGTTTTATTTATTTTTTAAGTCTTTTTTTTTTTAAGATTTTATTTATTCATGAGAGACGCAAAGAGAGAGGCAGAGACACAGGCAGAGGGAGAAGCAGGCTCCATGCAGGGAGCCCGATGTGGGACTCGATCCCGGGTCTCCAGGATCATACCCTGGGCTGCAGGCAGCGCTAAACCGCTGAGCCACCTGGGCTGCCCACTGGTTTTATTTCTCTATGGGCTCTTATCTTTTTATCTTTTTTATCTTAAGGTGTGATGGTAACGGAATTCATCGCCCAAGAAGAGGGTATTCAAGACAGTTGGCCTTCTTAACGCCCGTGCTGGATTTTCCGATCTCTGCAGAATGATCTCCTCTGGATTCATCCCCAAGCATTCAGCTGGCTCAGTATCCTCGTAAGGGGCGGCCCCACGACACGCCCACAACGTGAGCACACACGGCCACCCGCGTGCACGCTCCGGGCACAGGCCCAGGCCCGCTCCTGGTGGCCCTCCCCACATTCAGCTCCCGGGGGTGGTGGGGGTGCCCAGGCATTACAAAGAGCTTCTTTCTCCGGAGCCCGAGCTCTTGCCCGGCCACACCCAGCCCCACATCTGCGCAGCCCTTTGTTCTGTGGAGTGGCTCCCAACATAATGATCCAACGAGATGAAATCATCCACCAAATTAATTGTCAACCACTTTAAAAGACCTCTCTGGGGGTTGCCTTGCGAACCTCTTTGATGAGCTGCTTCATCAAACCGACCACCTCAAGACCATGACCATAATGCCTGCTCGTGACACCTGCCCAAGACCAGGAGGCAGAGGGGGTGCGATCACCTGGTGGTGGGACCCAGTGCACGTCAGCAGGGAGGCTGTGGGACGGTTTCCTTCTTCCGTTACCTGCTGGGGAAACCAGTATGGATTTCCAAGGGGGCAAGGGGGGCTAATCGAAGCCACCACAGAAGACACTGTAACCAAGGTTGGTGTTGCTGTCAAATGTGAAACTGCCCAGTGAAGCCGAGTCCGGGATGCCCAGGGTCTAGCCTTGGCAGACTGTCTGCAATCAGAGGGTTGGGGAAGTGCAAAGAGATGTCGGGAAGGTCCCTGGAGGCCCGAGCTGAACTAAGGGGCCTGAAGGATTGCCCAGAGATGGTCTATAGGAAACTCCCTCATGGGGACACGGAGGATGCAAAGGGCTGGGGGCGGGTCACACACTGTGAATCTGCGCTCAGCCTCCTCAGGGCACGTGGGGAGCAGGAGCAGCTGAGCCACAGGAGGAAGGAATCTGGCCCCTGGAACGCACCACATCTTCTCCTACTCGAAGGTATTGCAAATGCCAACTGGACTCCTATGAGAGTGCCCCGGTGGTGAAGCAAATCCGGTCCAGCCCGCCCGGTATACAATCGGAGGTTCCTCCCCATGAGGAGCTCCCAGAATTACCTGATTCGAAGGTTTCCTTATGTCAGTTTTATTATTCTTGCACACGCTATCTCGGAAACAAGAGCTGCCAAGTTCACTACACAAAAAACGTGCCTGTTATCGAGTTAATCTACAAGCTCAAGACTCCTTGCAAACAGTCCTGTGTCTGTGTTCCTTATCTCGCTCCTCCAGGTGGATACGAGCTCTGCTTCCGGGATGCCATGTGGCAACCCCGACGGAGGGTCACGGCCGCCTGTCTGGCTGTGCATCCGGGGCCGGACGCAAGGCTTCTTCCGGAAGGTAAGGCTGTGTCACCCCAGCTGTGAGCAATCCCATCCCGGGGGCTCCTTGCAACAGGAGACCTGGATCTGCTCGCCCAGCACAGCGAACGGGTCGCAGAGACGTGGCGACGAGTCCTCATACAGGGTTCCAGCCCGGCAGGGGAGGGCGCAGGTGTGAGCAGGTCATTTCACTCCCTTAATCCCTTGTCTCCCACATCTCTCTGTCTGTGTCGGTCTCTCTCATGCACACACACACTCACACCCAACTTTCAGCCATGCCCATGGCTAATCAGAGCTAGCATCCGTCCTCCAGACGGAAGAGCTTTTTACTGCTAATGCCTTGTCCGTTGACGGAAGTCAACGCAGCTGGAGAAGGACACGGGGCACGCAAGCTGGAGCGCAGCCCGTCACCCACCCGACCCCACCCCATCCCACCCCCGTCTTAATGCCACTTCTAAAGCGAGGCATGCACAGCACATGACAGAGAGCAGGTGCCATCGACAGAATAACGGACGCCTTCTCCTCAAAGGCGTCAACATCCCAATCCCCGGACCACGTGAGGACGTTAATGCCCATGGCAAAGGGGAAACTGAGTTTCCAGGTGCTAATTACAGATGCTAAGTAGTTGACCTGAAATAAGGAGATGATCCTTGGTGATGTACATGGGTCCTTCCAAGTGTTAAGGGGAGAAAGAACCAGAGACATGGCCTCATGAGAAGGATCTGACCCAACTGCTGTCCTAGAAGATGGGTGAAGGCATCCTAAGTCATAGAGGGCCGGCAGCATCTAGAAGATTCAAGGAAAGACTCTCCCTCGGAGCCTCCAAAAGGGAACGCAGCCCTCCTAACCCTTCTTATTAACCCATCAACATCCACCTTCATGCTCCTAACCTGCAGAGTTGTGGGGCTTTAAAAATGCGTGTTGTTTTAAGCCACTAAGTGAGGGGTGATGTGTTAGAGCAGCCGTAGGAGACCAAGATGGGGAGAAAGTCCATGAGAGAGATCATAGCAGGAGAACAAGGAAAGGTGACCTCGCAGTGGGCTCCCTCGGGGACCCTGCCCTGCACCCTGATTCCCTAACTCAGGAGCTAGCACAGGTGCAGGACGGGGGTGGGAGGGGAAGATGCTCAGCAGCCTCAAGACAAGCACACCCAGTAAAGTTCAGGTCTACGAAACGGAATAAACTCCAAATCTAAGCAAATAACACCACCACCCGTCCCTGAAATGATGAGCCTGCAATATGCCTGGGAACTGATGGCCATGATGGTGATGGTGATGGTGATGGTGATGGTGATGGTGAGGACGATAAGGGCGATGCCGGCTGTGGCGAGACGTGCTTACTTCCTGGTTGATGCACAAAGGACAGCAGACACAAATGCTCAAGGCTGAAGCTCGCCACTCTCCCCAAAGGCCAGAATAAAACACAACACACACCTGCCAAGCGCTATGGAGAAGCACATCCCGGTGAAGGACCACCTCCAGCACTGGGGTGGGGGGTCTCAGCCTTTTGCTGACTCCTCCTCAAGGACTGTGTGAGGAAATGCAGGGTTGTGGAGCCAGGACCACACGCACCTTGGAACTATGCCTCATTTAGTGAACTCGGAGACCAGAGCAGGGCTTCTGTCCCAATCACTCAAGCCAGGAACCTGAGCCCCAACCCCATGCACCACGTTGGTTCTTAAATGCTCCGAGCCCCGTCCCCCTGGAAGGATAAAACAGGCGGGTCATGAAACAGAGGTGAGACATAGGGACAGAAAAAAGATCAGAGGACACTTGCCTTTTTTAGTGACTTCTAAATGGGTGTTGGGTTTCGGTTTGGGGTCACAGGAAAGTGTTAGAAGTGGGCGGTGATGATGGTCGCACAACAGTATGAGTCACTTAATGCCACTCAATTGGTTACAACGGTGAATACTACGTGGTATATCAGTACAATGAAAATATTCTGGGGCAGCCCGGGTGGCTCAGCGGTTTTAGAGCCGCCTTCAGCCCAGCGCGGGATCCTGGAGACCCGGGATCGAGTCCCACATCGGGCTCCCTGCATGGAGCCTGCTTCTCCCTCTGCCTGTGTCTCTGCCCCTCTCTCTCTATCTCTCATGAATAAGTAAGTAAAATCTTAAAAAAATATTCTTTAAAAAATCAAATAGCATTAGAGAGTTGGTGGGGCTGTCCCACCACCCAGAATGGTCACTGGAGGTGACTTCCCAAGACACAGAGGGACCAGGATGCACATACACCACGTCATACAGACATCACAGCGGGTGGGATGGAGGGTCGCCCTTCTTGGTGGAGCATCCACGTGGTGCACCAGGAAAGCAGCCAACACATGCGGCATCCCAGAACCAGGAGCTGCACCCAGCATGGCTCCCATGTGCGGGGGCTATGCCTTTTCGAGGGATAAAGAATACCCCCCTCCCACGTACAGTTTGGTGAAAGGTGCTACTTGAGTGAACGAAGAACCTTGAGAGCAGCTGCACTCTACTGGGCACCACTTAAATGCGAGTCCTGACACCTGTAGGTGACGGTTACAAATGAGCGGAGAGAAAGAAGGGGTGGTTGGTGGGTGGTGATGCACAGGAGGAAGGCAGGTGGAGGTGTTGCCAGGATGAGCAGAGGTGGTCTTTACACTAGTACCATAGTCTTCTGTCCTTGGACATAAAAGGATCCTGCTTTCGACCCTCCAAGCTGGTCAGCCAAACACACCTGGGGTGACCCTACTGGGTCTTGGCACTACTGGGTCTTGGCTGCTCCCAGGGCACGGAGGTAGCATCCATGCATTCAGTCTCACAGGTGTAATGGGCTGAACTGCGTCCCTCCCTCACAGAAAATAACGTTGACGTCCCGATCTCCAGCACCTCCAGACTGTATCTGGAGATGGATTCCTTAAGGTAAAGTGGTGAAGGTAAAACGAGGTCACTGGGGTGTGGCCTGATCCCACAGGACCGGTGTCCTCACACGGAGAGGAGATTAAGACACAGTCACGCACAGAGGGAAGACCGTGGGAGGACACAGGGAGAAGATGGTGTCTCCACACCAGGCAGAGAGGCGTCAGGAGGAACCAGCCCTGGCCACGCCTGGATCTTGAACTTGCAGCCTCCAGGAGTGGGAGACAATAAACGTCAACTGTTGAAGCCGCCCCATCTCTGGTACTTTGTTTCTCCGAGCAAACCCACAGAACAGGCTACACCCAGTGTAGTCTCATCCATTCCATGAAATACTGGTCATAAAAAAGAATGAAGTCCTGACACATACATACTCTACGGATGCAACTCAAAACATCATCCCGGACGAAGAAACCAGTTGAGAAAAAGGCCCTGTGGGATAAGTAGGATCTCACTTATAGGAAATGTCCAGAAGGGGCAAATCCATAGAGACAGAGAATAGATGGGAGGTTGCCAAGGGCAAAGGGAAAGGGGAGCAGCGGGTGATTGCTTAACGGGTACAGGGCACACTTTGGGAGCTGATGCAAGTGTTGGATACAAGGGATGCTCGCATATGGTGGATGTGCTAAATGCCCCTGAACTGTTCACCGTAAAACAAATTTTACGGGGGCGCCTGGGTGGCTCAGCGGTTGAGCTTCTGCCTTCAGCTCAAGCCATGACTTTGGGATCCTGGGATGGAGTCCCACATCGGGGTCCCCGCAGGGGAGCCTGCTTCTCCCTCTGCCTGTGTCTCTGCCTCTCTCTCTCTGTGTCTCATGAATAAATAAAAATATTTTTTAAAAAAATCAAATAAATGATTTTATATTACGTGAGTTTCAATGAAAAAGTGTCACGGGTGTCAGAAGTGATGGTGACGGTGGAAAGAATGCCAAAGATAGTAGATAAGCGGTAGGATGTGGGTGGGGGTGTTGAAGGGAAGGTGCTGATGAAGGGGCTGGTGGTGGTGGTGGTGGTGGTGGTGATGCTGGGGTTGGTGAGCAAGATGGGAGGAACCGGAAGGATGTTGAACAGGGAGTAGTGATGAAGGTGGTGATGAGGATCATGATGGTGGGATTCGTGACAATGGCCATGGTGGTCATGACGGCCATGATGATGATGCTGGTGCTGGTGATAAAGACGGGTAGAAAGTGGTAAGACATGGGCAGGTGCTGAACAGAAGGCCATGACAAAGGTGGTGATGACGACGATGATGATGGGGTTGGCGATGGTGGTGATGGTGGTCATGGTCATCACGGTGACGATGGTGATAATGATGACGGTGACCGTGATGACGATGATGCTTAAGATGATCAAGATGGTAGAGGAGGTCAAGTGTGGGCAAGTGAGAGGGCGAGGCATTGATAAAGGTGACGGTGACCGTGTGATCTTCTCTCCCAAACATGACCCCATCCAGAGCCTTCCTTGTGCCGCCCAATGGTAGAGTCAGCTTCCTGTTGATGCAACCCGCAAACCTTGGGGTCGCCCATGACTGTTGCCTAAGTCTCTGTTATAGACCCAACGTGTGTGCGTGTCCCCTCAACACTCATGCCTTGAAGGCCTACATCCCAGTGACTGTGTAAGGACGTGAACCTCTCAGGAGGTAATAAAGGTGAAATGAGGTCATGGGGGAGGCGCCCTCATCTAACAGACCACTTACAAGTGTCCTCGCAAGAAGAGGCACCAGGGAACGTGCCATCTGTCCTCCGTACGCTTGCTCCCAGCCGGGGACACACAACAGGCCCTGCAGGGCAGCTCTTGCGCCTTCGTTTCTCCGCTTGCTCCGCCCCACGCCAGCCACGGCGACCTTCCCAGAGCTTCTAGAACATGTCCAGTGGGCTCCGAGGCTGCCGTGTGGCTCACGTTCCAGAGCAGCAGCAGCAGCAGCAGCAGCACCGGAACCTTATGAGGCATCCAGAGTCTCCGCACCACCACCCTCTCCAGGTAGGAGAGTCGGAACGTCTCCAGGGTGGGGGTTGGCCATGCGTGTTCCCACCAGCCCTCTAGGGGATGCTGAGGCTGCCCAGGGTTGAGAACCAGCCACTGTGCCCAGGGTATCTCCACGGCTCGCCCTCTCCTCATCAACCTCGGGCCCTATCAGCGTGCCCCTACCTGCCCTCTGCTCCGACCCCCACCAGGCTGCTCCATTCTCCCCCAGACTTCTGACGGCCTTCGAACCAACCAGCAACTGGACATGTCGCACGCGGTACCCACCGTCCCATAAGGGGACGTCAACTGGAGAAGCAAAGCCTAGTACCCTAGAGCGTCCCGCGCCCAGAGAGCAACCTGGCGGGCAGTGGCTGCTCAGCGATGGGCAGCGTGAGCGGGGACAACTGCCGACCGACTGCCCGGGGCCCAAGGGTCTCCCAACGTGGGCGACTTAATGGCTTTCCGGGGGGCAAATGGAGACACGCCAAGCAGCCTGCGTACAGGAGAGGAAAGAACAGATGGAGGCATGACACACATACACACGACGTCCCCGGGGCCCCGCGCTCCTGGGGGAAGGCAGGACACCTGCCCAAAGACGTGCAGCTGCAGAACAGCCCCACAGACGTGTCTGCCCCCCATGGGGCGCCTCATTCCAGGGCAAGAGGCGGGAGCACCGTGGGGGAGGAGGAGGACACAAGGCAGCAGCGGAGGGCCGGGCCGCCCACAGGGTGCACACGGCGCAGAGACGGATGGCAGCAGACGCCTGACAGCGCGGCCAGCTCCCCCGTGGGTGGGCATCCTTGCAAAATCAGGGACACGCCTCTACTGTGCCTGGCACCCGGGTGGCTCCGTGCATTAGGCGTCCGCCTCTGGCTCAGGTCGTGACCCCAGGGTCTGCAATCGAGCCCCATGCGGGCTCTCCCGCTCCCTCTGCCCGTCGCTCCCCCTGCTTGTGCTCCCTCTTGCGCTCTCTCCCTGTCAAATAAAGACGTTCAGAAAGGAAGAATGAACACCACACATCGAGGCTCAGAGGGTTAAAAGAGGAAAAAAAGAACCAAAAAGGCGAGTCTTCAAATGGCGTGGAGGGTTGTGACACCGTGGTCGCTTGAAGAACCTCGGGGGAAATACAAAGGGAACCAGCCCCACGGTGTCACTCCCAGAGCAAAGGTGGTTTTCAGAGAATTGGTAACACATTAGTCTCTCCGAGAGAACACGGTGGTTAGAAGCGTCGTCGGCGCACCCAGCCACCAACGCTGCTGGCACGCAGGACCCGTCTGTGGCACACGTCGCCCCTGCCCGTTTCCTCCAAGGACAAAAGTGGCCTCCCAGGTTGTCCCCAGCCGTGGAGGAACTGCCCCAGGACGCAGACTGGGGAGCACCCTCACGGCGCACTGTCCTCACCCGCGTGGGTGACCCAAGGGAGGACAAGGCGGGTGGCCCTGGGCAGACTCGGGGACAAAGGAGGAGTCCCGGAGCGGGACGTCACACCCACACACGCCCACGGACTGGATGTCTACACCCACACCCCCCGGGTTTCATATGATGAAAAATCTGCTCCCGATATAACGGGATGGACATTTGCACGCGGGTTTCTGGGACGTCCGTAGGATGAGGTCATGAGAAAGGGGTGCCCTGCGATGAAATGGGTCCCCGTGTGACCCCCGGCGTGTCCTACGTCCCTGCCCGCCTCAGGAGCACACAGCAGGACGGTGGCCCCCTACCAACCACGGAGAGCGCTCATCAGAACCCATCCCTGCTGGCGTCCTGACCCCACATCCTGACCCCACACCCTGGACCCCAGAGCTGTGAAACTCTGTTGTGTACGAGCCACCCCGTCCGGGTGTACGAGCCACAGCAGGCCCAACGTCAAGCCTGATTCAACATGGCGCCCCTTGGTCCATCCTGGATTTGCCAAAGAGAGTGACAAGGTGACGCAGACCCGGGGTGCAGGCCTCGCCCGGCTGCTCCCTGTGCAGGAAGCGGATGGGTGCGAGGGAGCAGAAGCAGAGGCAGCAGAAGAGCAAGTTGGGGCTGTGTCCCATCCAGCTCCGGAGGTGGCCTTCCTGGAGCGGGAGGCCATGGATGCCCATGAACCCTTGGCTCTCCTGGGTTAACCCCAGCTGCGTAGGGCAGTAGGGCTGCCACCCCGTGGGGGCTTCAAACGATGCCCTCCCGCTTCTGGAGACCAGATGTCCGAGATGCAGGTGGGCTGGTCCCACCGCACGTAGGTTGAGGCAGAGACTCGCTCCCTCCAGAGGCTCCAGGGAGGGTCCCTCCTGCCTCTTCCGGCGTCTGCAGCTGCAGGCGTCCCTGAACTGGTGTCCGCATCCCTCCCGCCTCTGCCTCCATCCTCACCCCTGTCCTTGGGTTGAAGCTCATCCTGTGCAACGGACTTGACCTCAATCCTTAACTAATTGCCTCTCCAAAGAGTCTATTTCCAAATCGGGTCCCATCTGCAGTTCTGAGAGGGAGGACACGAATTGGGGTGGGAGGGACTCTACCCCCAGGACACTGGCGGTCGTGTGCATGTGTTGGCTCATCACAGGCTCCTGCGTGTTGCCTATTTTTTATTCCTGCTTTGGCCCCATCTGGCTTCCCCATCCCCTTTTTTCTCCAACCCCTTGAGCAAGGAAATGTGGGCTCTGCGTCTCCTCATTTTTCCCTTCCCATTGGACCCTCACGCCCTTGGAGATGGCCAGAGAGAAGGAAGCAGCCCTCGTGGGGATGCAGCACACAGAACCGGTAACTCCGTGAAGACACGAAGCACATTCCGGGTCACCGGGGGCTGCGGATGGGGGATGCGGGGTGACCGCTCGTGGGGACGGGGCCTCCTCTGGGCCATGACGAGGACGTTTTGGAAGTCGATGGAGGCGGTGGCCGCACGACTTTCTGAAGGAGCGACCCGCGGCTGGAGGCCCTCACTGAAAAGCCGTTTGCTTCCTTGGACATGAATTTTCTAAAAAATGAACAACGTGCAGGACGTCTGCACTCGGGAATACGTTTTTGTTCCCCCAAATTCCATCTGATTTCTGAAGCTCCTGGAACGCCGCCGAACGGACACGCAGTGGCTCCCCGTGCGTTTGCAGGTTCCGAGCCCGTGAAGGGCGGACCGGATCGAAGGGTGATCTCAAGTTTCTGTGCATTGGGAAGGAACCGCTGGCTTCCATTGCTTATGTCTACACGGCGCAGAGGGCCGCTCATTATGGGCACAGCCCGAGGACAGTGAGTCCGATTCCACTCCTTCTGGAGCTGGATATTTGAGGATAAATAAGAGCCCGGGTCAGAAGGAGTGAAATCGGGCCGATTTGGGGGGATGAGGACCTCAGCAGAAAATCCCGTAGGTACGGCAGGAACTGCAAATACTAAGTATTTCAGAAGGAACCGTCTAGATGACCAGTTATTGGTTAAGGAAGGGCTCCTCGATCCTGAGGAAATACGAGTGCGTGACGCACGACGGTCGATACCTGACAGGTGTCAAGCACAGGCCACTAGCCTGAGCGGAGGGACGTCGTTCTGTCCTCGATGAGGGGGCGTCCGCCGCCAAACAAATGCACACGGTAACGCTGCACAGCAGGGCGCCCAGGCGCACACGCACAAGCTCGAAGCACGGGGTGGCCCAAATCGGGGAGCAATGGACGTGGCCTGTGCAGCGTCAGGAGGACGACTGCGCAGACGGGGACGTCCTGGTTCCCGCCTGCGCCACGGAGCAGGTCACCACGGAGGCACGCGAGGCCTGGATTCCGGGATCCCCTGCGCACCCATAATGATTTCAGAACATATTATTAGGACCTTTAACAGCGTCTTGTCGGTCATCAGCAGATGGACCCAAGCGCCGCCCCAGGAACCCGAAACGCAGAGAAGCGGGTTGCGAACCAGCTCCTGCGGCTCCCAGCCCACGGTTCCCGAGCCAGGAAATGATCCTTAACCAACACGCGCCCCGAAGTCGCTTCCCTGCTCTGAGAGGGGCCTTCACCTGTCGTCGCAGCCAGGCCGGCCGGGATTCCTTCCCCACCCACGGACGCCCTGGCACAGGGGAGCCACCAAGACCACCCGACCCCGCTCCCCGCCTAGGACCTGGGCCTCCCGGGCCCCGTGGAGTCACCGGGCACCGTGCAGCCAGGTCAGCAGGCCCGAGCCTGCGTGTGCACCTGCTGCGTTCCACCTGCACAAGCACATCGGCCTCGGGGCGGGCACCAGCGGGACTCGGCAGTCCTGCCCAGTGTCCAGGCAGAAGTGTGGGGTGAAAGGCACAGGAGCGCACGCATGGGTGACGAATGGACAAGTGTCGCAAGCGCACGCACACGGGTGAAATGGAAATGCGCACGTGTGAGCAGCGTGGTCTCGGAGCCGGCCCTGTCCTGCTGCCTCAGATCCTTCAGGAAAAAAGCGTCCGGACCCCCAGGAGCAAGGGTCCCTATATATCGCTATATATAGAACTCCTGACCCCGTGGGTCCGACACGGGGCAGGGACGGCTCCGGAGGCAGATTAGTCTCCTGGGCTAACTGCTTGTGGTAAACTTGGATCAGTATTGAAGAAAAGGCTGGGATAAAATGCAGCGGGAAAGGTCACCAGAGGGCCGCCTGGGTGGCTCTGTGGGTGAACAACCTGGGGTCCCGGGATCGAGCCCCGCATCGGGCTCCCTGCATGGAGCCTGCTTCTCCCTCTGCCTGTGTCTCTGTCTCTCTCTCTCTCTGTGTCTCTCATGAATAAATAAATAAAATATTAAAAAAAGAAAATCTCGTCAGAGCGGCAGAGCCGTGCACACACACACGTGCACGCACACGCACCTGGCTCTCTGTCCCTCTCTCACACACAGACCTGCACCCTGCAGGTCCGAGCAGGTGAACCTGCGCGCTCCGGCCCTCCCTTCACACCCTGGAAGCCCACAGGAAGTTCTCCTTGCACAAGCAGCATCCTCTTCATCAAGGGAGAGGAATGACACGTGGAAGGAAGGACTCGCCCTCCCCCGCGGGCCCCTCTGGGCTCCCAGGGGCGGCGACATTCTATTTTTAAGGGCAACATGACTGACTGGCTGGCCTGCCCGTGCCCCCCGGGGCAGCGCCCACGGGGGCCCCACGTGACTGCAGAACCAGAATAGGTGGTGGCGCCTCCCACCCGCCTGCCCCCACCCCTCCGGCCACCTGCCCCCCCCCCTCCGCCCCGGCACCTACGACAATACACCCGACGATACGCCCGTGTGTGTGCCCAAGACAAATACAATCGGCGGTGCTGCGTGCCAAGGGACGGCGGGTCCTGCACCAACTTTCCATTGTTCGCTGCTGGTGTTTCCACCTCGTCCTGGGGACACCGCTCAGGCTGGGTTTGTGTCCCACCCTGCCGTCCTGCGGAGCGCGGAGCGCAGCCAGCTTTTCAGGGAGCCCCGTGTTGGTGGTGGGGGGGTGCTAGGCAGACAGACACAGAGACACAGAGACACGGACACAGCAGGAGGAGGAGGGTGACGGGGAAACAAACAGAGAAGCCCACAGAGGCACAGAGGTGCCCCCGCCCCTCGTCTTCCCCAGTGAGGTCTCCTGCAGACCCGCCCCCAGCCAGCTGCCCCCCTGCAGGCTCACCCCCCTGAAAAAGAGAAGTGTCCCTGTGCACTGGGGGTTGGTTACCGGGCCGCCTGGCTGCGCCTGGGGTCTGAGTAAACCCTAGGCCGTGACCCTGAGCCCGGCTTCCTGCTGCCCTGCCCAGCTTCCTCCTTTGCAAAAGAGGGGGCCGGGGGACCGGGAAGCCCCCCACTCCCCAGGGACAGCCCTGCCCTGTCCTGCCCTGCCCCTCCGGGCTGTGCAGCGGGTCCCCTTCCCCATGTGTGTTTCTGGCCCCAAAATCCCGTCTGTCCCGAACCGGATTGGCAACAAAGAGCTACTGAGAAGCCACAGCAGGTTGTGCCCACATTCGGAACTGAGCGCCCACCTGGGGTGCGGCTTTGGGGGGATTCAGGGTGGACGGTGCAGGCAGGGGGCGGGGGGAGGGGGGAGCGGACACTAGGATCGCAGACGTCCCAGCGTGAGCAGCTTCGAAAGCGGAGGACAAAAGGAAAGCAGTGTGTGATTTTTTTTAAAAATGCCAACTTTCAGACGCCCGGGAGGAGCAGCCCGCAGGGTGTTGGGAGATGGGTCCTGTATGGGGAACGCTGCCCACCCCCCCGTCCGTGCGCCCCCCGGGGGACGCCCCGGGACACCTGCCTCGCCAAGCGCGGGGTGAGGTCTGCAGTGTCCGGGAGTGTGGGCAGGAGGAGCAGGGCAGGTGCCTCTAGGGGCCCCCAGGGCGGGTCCCCAGTACGAGGTGGCCCCCCCTCCCCCTGGAAGTTGGAGCGCGTCTGGGGCGCACAGAGAGCACAGACAGGGCTGGGGGCGCAGGGCAGTTGCACCCCAGGAGACTCCAGGGCCGACGGGCGTTGGGGAGGGTGTCGGGGGCTGGGGAGGGGGGTGAGCGTGCGCGCAGCGGAGCCCCCAAGGTGCGGGGGCGCAGCCCGGCCCCTGGGGGTCCCCCGGAGCCGCCGAGCCCCGCGCGGGCAGGCGGCCCTTTGTCTGCCGCTGCGCCCCTGCGGCCCGGCCCCGCGCGCCCCACTCACCCACGGTGGCCAGCGTGTCGAAGTCCTGCAGGCGGAAGGCGGGCGGCTCTGGCGAGGGCGCCTCGGGGCTCGGGCGGGGCAGGGGCGCGCCGTCGGGGGCCTCGGCTGCGCGCTCCGGGGGCGCGGGGCCCGGCGCGGCCGCCTTGGCCAGCCCGGGCGCCTCCATGGGGGCGCGCTCCAGCCCGGGGGGCGCGCGGGGCCGGGCTTCCCGGGACGCAGCCTCGGAGGGCGGCGCGGCGGCGGCGGCATCAGCGGCGCCCACCCATGCGCGCCCCCCGCGGCCCGGCGCGACTGTCGGAGCGGCGGGGACAATGGCGGGGCGCGGGGCGGCGCTCGGTGCAGCCGCTGCAGCCGGTGGGAGTCGCCCGCGGCCTCGGGGGGCGGGCCCGGGGGCGCGCTGGGCGGGAGCAGGGGCGGGCGCGGGGGCGCGGCCCGGGCAGGCTGGGGCGTTCATCCCCCGGCCGCCGCCGCTGCGTGCGCGCTGCTGGGGGGCCGGGCGGACGCGGCCGGGGCGGGGCCGTGCGCTCTCCCGCCCGCCGACCCGGGAGTCGCCGGCCCCCCCACCCAACACCCGCGCGCTCCGCCCCCGGATCCCGGAGGGCGGCGTGGAGGAGGCGGCCGCGCCCCCCCGCGCGCTCCCGGGGCGCCCCGCGGAGGGAGGGGGGTCCCCGCCCAGCCAGGCGGGATACCGCGCTCTCCGCGCCCCCGCCCTGGAGGCCGGGAGGCGGGGCGCGCTGGCCACCGGAGGGCGTGGCTGCAACTAAAGTAAAGTCCAAAAAAAAAAAAAAAAAAGAAAGAAAAACATCCAGTGAACTGGGAGCGAAATGCGCAGGGGCCGGCAGCCGGGTGTAGCCAACAAAAACCCGGGCGGGGTCACCTTCCTGGTCTCCGCGGTGCGCGCGCAGGGGGCACGGTGCTGCCAACATGCCATTTGGGGAGGGGCGCACGGGCACCCCTCCCGCTGGATCCCTGAGGCTTCCCAAGCACCCCTGATCCAGGGCGACCCGTCCAGCGTGCTGCGCACCTTGCTCGGAGTCCACGAGTTTCCCCAGACGCTCACGCTTCCAACCAAAGACAAGCAGACGCAGGTTTAAGATGCAGGACCACGGCCCCCGCCCCGAAACGCAGCGCGCGCAGCTCGGTGGGCCCCCGTTTTTGGACACACACACCCAGTTTGGATGAGAAACGCAGGACACCCCAGATGCATTCGAATTCCAGCCCCTCCCGCCGTGTAAGCACGCCCCAGCCCGTGTCTGGGTGTACTCACACCAGAGATGACCAATGCGTATCTGACATTGGAATGTAACTGGACGTCCCGTGTGTTATCGGGCCACCCTGTCCCGGGGCATCCGGTGGACATGCAGGCTGCAAAGGGTTGGCCGTTCCCAGCTGCTGGCCCGGGGACCACACTTTGAGCTGCTGGAGGACACATGGCCTCCCAGGTCGCCTCCCTCCTCCTTCAGAGGCGGCTCAGGGACTCAGCCCTTGGAGAGGGTGTCCTGCCCCTGAGTCCTGGGGTTGGCGAGGGGGCGGCCTGCCCAGAAGGCTACACCGCCTCAAAATCACAGCTGAAGTGTGTGATTGCAGACAGCAGGCCGTGTGGGCCCGACTCGACCAACGGAGAGGGGGCCACAGGAAATGGGAAGGGGGCTCTGGGTGCTGTCCTCGGGCCTCTGGGCTGTCAGCTTGGGCCCACGCGCCTGTGCTCATGGTGGGTGGCATGTTCCCCGGGCATTAGGCCTGCAGTCTTTGCTTGTTGCCAAATCCTGAGCTGGAATGCAAAAAATGCGTGCCCTGAGCAGGCCCCGTGCTCCGCGCTGGAACAGGAGGCGCTCTGGCCACCAGGCCCTGTGTGGCCCTGTCCTGCTGAGCCACTGCGGAAGGGGGACGACCCAGGATGGTCCCCCCTCCCCGCCCCGGCCCGGGGTATGTCCACGGCTCCCTGACCACCCTGATGCTACTAGGTAACTCTCGTTGTTGGTCAAGCCGAGGTCAAGTAGGGACGTGCTTCCCCCTTGCCATTGCACCCAGGCAGAAAAGGGCTACAGAGAAACTCAGCATTCAAGTCCGGGTTGCAGAGCTGACGGGTCGGACGCCTTCCTCCCCCACCCCTGAGACTGACCACATACCTGCCTCTTCCTATAAATATCCTGGGCAGGTGTCGCAACCTGGCCGTACAAAGCAGCTTTCATCTGGAAGGATCATAAACATTCCTCAGGAACCGCAGCCTATGACTCGGAAGACAGAACTGAAAAGTCCGTGTCAGGCAGGCGTTACAGGGGCATTGGCGCCGTCGGGCCGCGGCATCACGGGTGGCGCGGCGGGCACGATGCACTGAGCTCTGCCATGCGGAAAGAAGAGGGTCTGCGTCGCCCCAGAGGGAACCATCGGGTCAGCACCGTGATCCGTGCAGGTGTCGATGGAGGCAAGAGACACACAAGTTGTGGTCCGTGAAGGTCCGCGGGAATGGATGTGCGTGGTTCAGCTGGAATGCGAGTGGGTGTATTCCTATATATGCAGGCGTACGAGTGTGTGCGTATGTTGTACGTACAAATACATCCACACACACATACGTATGTACAAGCGTATGTGCAAATATATATACAAAACATCATATATCCAAAAATGTTATATATACACATACATGTATCTATGTGTGTACATGTGAGTGTATAGATGCTGAGTTAAAACTAAAAAGTATACTGTTACCTGTGCAAGCTTTACAATTGATACATATTTTATATGATATATATGTTATATCGTAATACATTCCAGAATATATATTCTAATACATTTTATTTTACAATTGATACATATTTTATATGTGTGTTATATTGTAATATATTCTAATACATTTTATTCTGTATATTCTAAAAGACATGTTCACCTGCCTTCACAGACTTTACAACTTAAGCATAATTAAAATATTAGATAAGGGATCCCTGGGTGGCGCAGCGGTTTGGCGCCTGCCTTTGTCCCAGGGCGCGATCCTGGAGACCCGGGATCGAATCCCACGTCGGGCTCCCGGTGCATGGAGCCTGCTTCTCCCTCTGCCTATGTCTCTGCCTCTCTCTCTCATTCTGTGTGACTATCATAAATAAATAAAAATTAAAAAAAAATAAAAATAAAATAAAATATTAGATAAATATAGTCTGTATTATACCATAACATTCTGTAATATATTCTAACATTTTATTATATATATTTTAAAAAGTCTTATTATAAATCCTAATATATATTCCAAAAGACATGTTCAGCTGCCTTTAGACTTTACACCTACATATACAATGTGAGATATATATTATATACTATGTTGTAACATTCTTTAATATATATTAATATATTTTAATATATTTTTATGAGTTCTAACGTATATATTCTAAAAGACATGTTACAGCTGCCTTTAGACTACACTTTACACACATATTGGATACATATTATATATTACATTCTATAATATATTCTAAT